ACGGAAGAGTAAGAACCTGACGAAGAACAGAGGCAGACGGCGGCAGAGACGACGGAGACGGCGGAGCGAAGAACAGTCGTGTCGGCGCAGCTGCACCAGTACCAGCAGCTCCAGCAGCTCCAGTGCCTCCAGCAGCTCCAGTACCTCCAGCAGCTCCAGTACCTCCAGCAGCTCCAGAAGCTCCAGGCCCAGAGCCGACACCTCGAGTCCCAGGGTCTCCAACCTCTGTGTCTCCAGCAGCAGCACCCCCAGAACCAGCACCTCCAGTCCCAGGGTCTCCAACCTCAGGGTCGCCAGCAGTAGCACCCCCAGAACCAGCACCTCCAGCTCCAGGGTCTCCAACCTCAGTGTCTCCAGCAGCAGCACCCCCAGAGCCAGCACCTCCAGTCCCAGGGTCTCCAGCCTCAGTGTCTCCAGCACGAGCCCCTCCAGAACCAGCAACTCCAGCACCTCCAGTAGACAAAGGACCAGCACGACTCCGAGCTCCAGCAGCGCGACGCTGACGGCGACCGTACCAGTCCTGCAGCTGCTGTGGGGTGAGAGGCACACGTGGACGAAGGCGGCCACTCCAAGGAGACCGCGCAACAGCAGACTCAGAACCCTCAGCGCCCGCACCCCCAACGGCTCCAGAACCTCCGGTGTCAGTACCCTCAGCACCAGTACCTCCAGCGGCTCCAGAACCTCCAGCGCTAGCACCCTCAGCAGCTCCAGAACCTCCAGCTCCAGCGTCACCAGTACTAGGCCCTCCAGCAGCTCCCGAACCTCCAGCGCCAGCACCCTCAGTAGCTCCAGAACCTCCAGCGTCAGTACCGCCAAGCTCAGCACCCCCAGACCCCTCACACTCAGGCTCAGCACCACCAGGCTCTACACCCTCAAGCTCCGCACCCGCAGGCTCAGTACCCCCAGGCTCAGCACCCCCAGGCTCCGCACCCCTAGGCTCAGCACCCCCAGAAGTAGCACCCCGAGCAGGACCACTCTCAGTAGGACCTGAGTCACCAGTGACCTCAACCGGTGCAGTCAAGGGAGGAGGGTCTACCTGAGAAACACCTGAAGGAGTAGGACCGGGAGTGGGGAGGGGGTCTACCTGGGGAGCACCTGGAGCGAGGAAGAGCGGCGGGGGGGGGAGAGGGGCAGTGCGGTAGGGGAAGAGACGGTAAAAGGGAACCGACTCGTCGAACGTGACGTCCTGAGACGCAAAGACACGGCGCGAGGTGGGGTGGTAAAACTGCCAACCAGGCGCGTCAGGGACAAAGCCAAGGAAGACACAGGGAACAGCGCGGGCGGAGAGCTTGTCCGCGATGGTATCGCGGACAAAGGCACGAGCACCCCAGACCCGGAAACGCGACGCATCGCCAACCTTCCCCGTCCACATCAGTGTGGGCGAGGTCTCCGGCAAGGAGACACGGGGCCAGAGGTTGAGCTGATGCGCGGCGTACCGGACCGCAAACGGCCACAGAAAATGGGGGGCAGCCGCATGGATCAGGGAGGTACGAGCGACCTCCATGACTAAGCCAATGCGGCGCTCAGCAACCCCATTCTGCTGCGGAGAGGCCGGAAGCGTGAACGACTGGGTGATGCCGTGCTCCGCACAGTAGGCTGCCAAGAGGTTGGAGGAGAACTCACCACCTCTGTCAGAGTGCAGACGCAGGACAGGAAAGTCCGACCGGAACCGCTCGCGGAGCTGGAGACGAACTGCGCGGATCCAGGGGATCAAAACAGCAGGGACATCCGCCTTGCTCCGCAAGGGGAAGACCGTGGTGTAACGCGTGTAGTCGTCGACAACCAGCAGGAAGTACCGCTCGTGGCCCTGTCCCTGGACGCGGGCTGGGCCCCACACGTCCAGGTGGAGCGTCTGCAGTGGAGCCTCTGTGGGAGGAAACGAGGAGTGAGGAGCGGCGCGCTGCCGCCCCTCGACGCAAGGAATGCAGGGCGGCGCAGGCGAGGGAGGGAGGGCAGGCAGAGACCTGGGGAGACCAGAGACCAGGGAGCGAGAGTGCATGCTACGCAGGCGAGGCAAGGAGGGGTGACCAAGGCGGTGGTGCCACAGGAGAGTGTCGTGCGACAAAGCGCGACACTCGCAGGGGGCCGCCTGCTGACCAGACGTAGACGCAGACGCAGCTACCTGAGGGGACGCAGTGGTCAGTGTGTACAGACTCGAGCCAGGTGCACGGGTGAACGTGGCCAAGTGCCGGCCCGTCCTAGCACACGTACAGTGAGTCACTCGCTGACTCGCAGGAGTGAACTGGTGAACCCCCCCATCCTGGAGGTCAGCTCCACTCACCAAGTTCATAGAGAACGAGGGGAGGTAAAGACCTGACAGGAAGCCAGACGGGACGGCCGGACACGGCAGAACCGTGGAGTGGTGGGCAATGACTGGACCCCCAGAGGGGTCCGCCAGGGAGACCGGGACTGGCCGACTGAGCGGCGTGAGTGCGGTGCAGTCGCGAAAGAAGGAGCGGGAAGCTCCTGAGTCAAGGGTGAAGGTGTGCGAGACCGCAGTGGGCGCAGTACCAGAGAGAGCAGACTCATTAGCACCTGAAGCCACGGCCTCACCAGTACCTAGAGCAGTAGACGTACTAGCACCGAGAGCAGCAGCCTCACCAGCACCTAGAGCAGGAGACGCACTAGCACCTAGGGCAGCAGCCTCACCAGGGTCAGGCGGTACGCACAGGTAACAGGCACGGTCAGCACTAGTAGACAAGGCATACATGGCAGTGAGAATAGCATCATAGTCAAGCGCAAAGATATCTACCCTCTGTCCATGCAGCTCCAGCCAGGTGGGGAGCTCAGCCTCGTCGCCAAACACTGTGCGCCAGGCGTCGCTCAGACCGTCGAAGCAGCGGGACTGTGTGTGACCAAGCGTCCCACAAGGCTGACCAGTCCTAGCACCTGTGCGAATGACGTACGGGCAGCGAACTGTACGGGTAGACCTGCTACACTGAGCGTACCACTCCTGGAGCTGCCGAGGCGTAAGTGGCTCGCGTGGACGCCCCTGCAGCTGCAGCTGGCCACTGCTAGACGCTCCCAACTGACCAGCCCCAGGGCGACAGCTACGACGGCTACCGCGACAACCCCAGCTAGTATACCACTCACTAAGCTGCTGGGGCGTGAGAGGCTCGCGTGAACGTCGCTGGAGCTGCATCTGGCCACCTGCCAGTAGCAGTAGCAGCAGCAGCAGCGCGGGCAGGGCAGGCGTGGCAGGCAGGTAGGCAAGCAGGCAGGCAGGCAGGCAGGCAGACAGGCAGGCAGGCAGGCAGGCAGGCAGACAGACAGGCAGGCCGGCAGGCAGGCAGTCAGGCCGGTAGGCAGGCAGGCAGGCGCGCAGGCAGGCAGGCAGGCAGGCCGGCAGGCAGGCAGGCAGGCAGGCAGGCAGGCAGACAGGCAGGCCGTCAGGCAGGCAGGCAGTCGCTCACCAAAGGCTGGGAGAGCAGGCGCTCACCGGGCGAGCAGGGCCGGCGCTCGACAGCGGCGACGTCGGGGCCGCAACACCGGCTGCAGAGTAGGGCCGAAGCAGCTGCAGGGCGGGGCCGCTTCAGCGGCAGGTCGGGGCCGTGGCAGCTGCAGGGCGGGGCCGCATCAGCGGCAGGTCGGGGCCGTGGCAGCTGCAGGGCGGGGCCGCATCAGCGGCAGGTCGGGGCCGTGGCAGCTGCAGGGCGGGGCCGCATCAGCGGCAGGTCGGGGCCGAGGCAGAGGGCCGCGCGCGGCTCGGCGCGGGCTGCGCTGACAGCGCGCTAAGCTGATGCAGGCCGCGCGCGGCCGCGCTAGGCAGTAGCGGGCCGCGCGCGGCTCGGCGCGGGCTGTTGCGGGCCGCGCGCGGGCCGTGCGAGGCAGTAGCAGGCCGCGCGCGGCTCGGCGCGGGCTGCTGCGGGCCGCGCGCGGGCCTCGCGAGGCCGTAGCAGGCCGCGCGCGGCTCGACGCGGGCTGCGTGGGCTCGGCGCGGGCTGCGCGCGGCAGCTGCGAGCTGCGCGCGGCTCGGTGCGGGCTGCGCGCGGCTGCAGCGGGCTGCGCGCGGGTCGGTGCGGGCTGCGCGCGGCTCGGTGCGGGCAGCGCGCGGCAGCAGTGTGCTTAACGGTCTGCAGGGGCTGTGTGCGGGCCTGACGGGCGTGTAGAGGCGGCGCGCGGGCCTTACGGGCCTCTAGGGGCAGCGCGCTGGCCTAGGGCAGCAGGAGGCAGCGCATGTGCAGCACGTCACAAGGCAAGGCAAGGCAGGCAGGTACGTGGGGTAGCGCGGTAACCGCAGCGGTAGGTGGGCCCGAAAAAAAACGGTCCTACGGACCTTAGTGCTCTGATACCATGTTAGAATCTAGCAGCAGGAATGTGTGAACTAGTGGCATGCAGGAGTACAAGTAGTAAACCCTAATTGGGCTGTACCCCATATGGGCTACCCCACTACAGCCTAGACAATATGTAGCATATATGTTTGACACTACGCTCATGGAAAGGCAAGAAGTTTTTTCCTGCAGCCATTGCCTTTCTCCCCCCGCCTCCTCCGCAGCTCCGCCCTCCCCCCTCTGCATCAGGCACTTACAAAAGCTGCTGTGTGTTTTACAGGAGGCAACACACACAGCAAGCATCTAATCAGCATTCTCTGTGCTCCCGTATACATGCATGCATCCACAGCTGCTGCTGCTGCTGCTCTATCATACCAGGTGACCTCTAGCCAATGCAATAAATCATGCATGTCTAATTTGAGAGCGAGCGAGCGAGCGCCAGCACAGCAGGTGCGGGCGGAAAGACCATTGGAGCGCTTGGCGTGGCGTGGATCGTCATCAGCGATCAGCCCACCTGCGCCGCCCACCTGCGCCGCCATGGCATGCAGTGCGGTGTGGGTGGTGCTGGCAGTGGCAGTGCGGCCGACATGGCTGACAGATACGATACGGCACCCATCTCCCCTCTCCTCGCCCACCACCCATCTCCTCGCCCACCACCCAGCCTGGCAGCCAGCCCCTCAGCAGCGAGGCAACGCATGGGCGGTGCATCAGGCGAGCATGGGCGGTGCATCAGGCGAGCGGGTGGAAGGACGACGGCAGCACCGGCTCCGTGGCCGTGCGCCCCACCCTCACCCCCCCGCCATCACCCCTGCCCTCCATGCCCCCCTCCATGCCCCCCTCCATGCCCCCCTCCATGCCCCTTGCTCCTCCACCGCCCAGTTCCTCCCTCGCGCTCGCACACGCACTCAACCGCTCACCGCCAAACACCCCTGCTTCCCCACCCGTGGCCCCACCCCCTTGGTGCGGTGCGGCGGCATGCGAGGGGACAGGGCGGGCGTGCAGGAAGGTCCCTCCTGGGTGCAGGTGGAGGGGCGTGCCAGGGGCGGAGGAGGAGAGGCGTGGCGGCGTGCGCCCCACGGAGAGGCCGGGGCGGCGCCCAAACGGCACCACGGGGGACACGGCGAAGCGAGCACTCGCCACGTGGCCTGTGCTGCTGCCCATGGCGGTGCTGCTGGGGGTGGCGGAGGCAGGGTTGGCAGGCGTGCTCCTCCGCACGCTGCTGCTGCTGCTCAAGCCGCTGCTGCTGCCGTCCCACATGTCTGTGCCCCACCCTATCCCGGCTGTTCGAGGAGAAGCGCCGCTTGAGGTTCGGCCCAAGCCTGCAGAGGAGCCTCGGGGAGGGCTGGACGCTTCAGACCAGGCCTTGCCAGGGTTGGATGAGGGGCGTGATTCGCCGTTGAGGGCGATGACAGGTGGCAGGCTGAGATTGGCCACGAGCGCTGAGAGGTGCTGCGCTGCCTCCACCATCTCCACTGTCCCGCTCTGCTCCCCACTGCCGCCCACACCCCCTGAAGAATCACCTGAAAGTTCACCTGAGGCGACGCCCTGGTCCACCCCAGCAGAAGCAGAACCGGGCGCAGCAGACCCATGTGTCTCGGCTGGTCCTCCCCGCCCTGACTCTGCTGCCTCTGCTGCCTCCTCTCCCCCCCTTGCATCACTGCCTGCTGTCACCCGCCTCTCCCCCACACCGCTCCCACTCCCCGTGCTCTCCACGTTCCTCCTCCCAAACAACCATCCACCCCACCCCCCTCCCCTCCCCCCTGCCGCTGCCGCTGCTCCTTGCGCCGGCCCTGCTGCACTGGCCCCCTCCCTGCCACTCCCCGCGCCCTCACTCGCCCGCTGCCCCCATCGCTCCTCTCCCCACTCACCACTCCCACAAACCGCCGACGAGCCCCGCCCGGCATCATCAGGGGCGGCGGAGGGCGGCAGCTGGAGGGAGGCGGCGTGGGCGGGGGAGAGGAGCAGCAGGCGCTGCGTGGCGGGCGGCATGTGCGCCCACAGCACACGCAGGTCGCCCCTCAGCTTGCCCACTGCTGGGGACTCGCCCGCCCTCCGCCACGCCTACTCATGCCCATGCATCACACAGCATGCCCATGCATCACACAGCATGCCCATGCACCACACAGCATGCCCATGCACCACACAGCACAGCATGCGCAGGTTGGGGGGACAGGGGGGAAGGAGGAGAGAGAGGGTTGAGGGCGGGTTAGAGGGAGCATGGTGGAGACAGTGCAAGGCACTCAGATGCTCACACCACGACACACCTACCCCACTGCACACCACGCCATACATGCACACCACCCACCCGTGCGCCTCACCTTGCTCTCCACTGCCATGTGTCGCTCCACACACAGAAACGCCTCCACCAGGTCTGCCTCCCCCATGCCGCCCACCGCCTTCCTCACGTCCGCCCGCAGCCGTGCCGCCCGCCACAGCCGGTGCTGATCCGCCTCCGCTACGGCGCGCCGCCGCTGGAACCACGGCATGAAGTTCGGACCTTCCAGGAACCTTCTGTACACCTCCAGCCACCTGCCCGCCTGCAGCCGCTTCGCAAGAAACTTCCCCGGCCCGCGGGCAGCAAGCTGCCCGAGAAACTCTGCGGCGTCGAAGGGTGGCAAGGGCGGCGGGTCGCAGAAGGGCGAGGCGTCGGGCGGCGGGGCTTTGGCGCGGAGGAAGGGGCCGAAGGGGGCGAGGAAGTTGGTGGTGAGCTCGATGAAGTGGCGCCGCAGCAACTCGTTGTTCACCATCGCCACCGTCTCCCCCGCTACCCCCGCCCCCCGCCCCCCCACTCCCCCTGCTGCTCCCCCCGTGGTGGCGTCAGCTGCATCGTCCAGCCCTGCCACGCCCGCCACACCCGCCAGCAGCGAGCCCGCCACGGCGCCCGGCAGGCTCAAGAGAGACGACGCTGTGGACGACGCGGTGGACGGGGGGGCAGACGCCGATGCAGGGCGCCCGCCCGCTCCCCCTCCTGCTGCCACCCGTGCAGCGGCAGCAGCAGCAGCGGCAGCAGCAGCAGGCGAGAGAGGTGGCGTCAGCAGGGGAGGCAGCAGCAGCAGCGTTGGGGGCGGAGGAGCCGGAGCGGTGGGTGCGGTGGGAGGCAGAGGGGTGCAGAGCGGTGGAGGCGTCGAGAAGGCGGTTGAGCACGGCGGTGTCGGGCTTGACAGACGGCACGTGGTTGGTCCACAGCGCCTCCCTGTGCTCCCCCATCAGCGACAGCGGCCCCTCCCCCCTCATCCGCGCCAACCCCTTGCTGCCCGCCGCCAGCATGCTGGTACGATGGCAGAGAGAGGGGTGGGGCATGGATGGGCGTAAATCAGGGTGGGTGGGGATGGATGGGGGTGGGCTCAACCTTGATTGAGCTCAACCTTGATTGAGGCTCAACCTTGATTGAGCTCAACCTTGATTGAGCTCAACCTTGATTGAGCTCAACCTTGATTGAGCTCAACCTTTCCAGAGCCCCCTGACTAAGAGGACACACACAGAGCCAGGGGTGGGGTGGGGGAAAGACCACAGAGGGGCACAGAGGGGTAGAGAGGGGCAGAGAGGGGCAGAGAGGGGCAGAGAGGGGCACGGAGGGGCACAGAGGGGCGTGGCCAGAAATGACCCACCTGAGCAGCCCGCCAGTGGCCAGGCGTCGCAGTGGCGACTGCTGCTGGTGTGGCAGCCGCCCCGCGCTTTCCCTCACCGCCACCTGCCCATTCGGCTGCAAGCTGCCGCCCGCCCCCGCCCCATACCGCGGCGCCCCCGCCACGCCCTGCCCGCCATGCGGCGGGCGGCCAACGGACAGCACATGCGGCAGGTGCTTCAACGCCTTGAGGAAGAAGAGGTTCGTCACCCCCAGCAGCACAGCAGGGAGTGGGTCCCCATCCCTCAGCGCGTTGAGCGCGGGGAAGTCGGGGTCGTGGATGGTGAAGTAGGGGCGGAAGTCCAGCGAGCACGGCAGCGGCGCGATGAGCCCCACGAGGGCGGCCACGGCCTCGGAGCACTGCGCGGGCGTGGGGGCGATGACGAGCAGCGGCTCACCCAGCAGCAGCAGCTCCCACAACACCCACAGCTGCGCCGCCACGCCGCGCAGGATGCCAAACACGTCCGCGTCGTGGAATATGCCCTGGGGGGGGACGAGGAAGAGGGGAGGGCGAGGGGGGGTGGGGGAGGAGGAGGGTGAATGGGGGGGTGTGGGCTCAGCTGCGCTGCGCCCCTCAGAATGTCAAAATCGCCCGCCTCGTGGAATATGCCCTGGCGGAGGGGAAGGGGGAGGGGAAGGGGGAGGGGAAGGGGGAGGGGAAGGGGGAGGGGAAGGGGGAGGGGAAGGGGGAGGGGAAGGGGGAGGGGAAGGGGGAGGGGAAGGGGGAGGGGAAGGGGGAGGGCTCAGCAGTAGCTGGAGGACAAGTGCGCCATGCTTGTGGGCTGCATGCTTGTGGGCGGCATGCTTGTGGGCGGCATGCTTATGGGCGGCATGCTTGTGGGCGGCATGCTTGTGGGCGGCATGCTTGTGGGCGGCATGCTTGTTGGGCGGCATGCTTGTGGGCGGCATACGTGTGGGCGGCATGCTGTGCGCCTGTCTGGTCTGGTATGACCTAACCTGGGCGGCTCACCTGGGCGGCAGGCTGACCTGGGGCGCGGAGGTGGAGAGGGGGGCGGGCGCCATGGCGGCGGTGAAGTCGTCCAGCGCCGAGTGCGATGCGGGCGGCAGCGTGTGGGCGGGTGGCAGCTGCACGCGCAGGGACGTGCGCGGCCCCACCGGCAGCTCCATCACACCGCCCGCCCCCGCCGTCCCACCCACGCCCCCACCGCCCGCCACGCTCGGCTGGTAGGGCGCGGGCCACAGCGAGACCCACGCGGCCACCTGGACGAAGGCGATTGGTCCGCGGTCGAAGTAGAGCGGGCCGACGACCTGGGCGAGGCGGCGGAAGGCGGCGGAGAAGGGGCGCTCGGAGAGCACCACCACCGACTTCTGCTCGCCGCCTCGTGGCAGCCGCTCGTCATGCCGCTGCCGGTTGAACACAAACCCGTACATGTACCGCGCCCCGCCCCTTCCCGCCCCCGCCCCTGCTGCTGCTCCGCCCCCGGACCCCCCGTGCCCCCCTCTGTCGTCCTCGTCTTGGCTGTGCGCGGGCATCGCGCGCCTCCCCGCCCCCATGGACGCGGATCTGCCCACCGCAGCTTCCTCCTCCCGCTGCCCCGCGCTCCCCCGCGCGCTGGCGGAGTGTCTCAGCGCGCCGGCCGCCGCCTGCGCGCGCCACTGCACCTCCGCCTCGTCCCCCTCCTCGCCGCCCGCGAGCGGCTCCGTGGCGCATCTGTCGAGGCGCGCGAAGGGCGAGGCGGCGGCGGCGACGAGCCCCGTGGGGCTGGTGAGCGACGACGCGGGCGCGCTGATGCTCTCCGCCATCGGCCCCCCCGGGCCCCCGCCGTACCCCACGCTGATGCCTCGCCGCGGCGTCGTACCAGGTGTCGTCGCGCAATTGGTTCCCGGGTCCCACCGCGGCGGGCTGGCGGACTGCCTCCGCGCGGACGCGGCGGACCGCTCCGCCCGACTCGTCGCCCGCGCGGCTGCCCCCCCTGCTGCCCCCCGACCGACACTAGCGTGCGCGTGCTGCTGCTGCAGAAGCGGAGATTGCGAGGCGAGCGCACTCCGCCCAGCCCCCTCCGCTGTGCCGTCGCCGCCGCTGCCCGCCCCGCCATCAACCCCGCCAGCGCCTCCGCCGCTCGTGGCGGCGAGGGCAGGCGGAACGCCGCGGCGGCGGATGCGGAAGAAGAAGAGGCAGTCGTAGAGCGAGGCGCGCGAGTGCACGGTGGACATGGAGTCGGGGAACGACGAGAACGCCACGTCAGTCTCCTCCTCCGCGCTTAGGGCGCCCGCGGGGAAGAGCGCTTCGACCAGCTGGCCCTGCTCGAGGTCGAAGCGCACCGCCGCGAAGCCCAGCAGCCAGCGGCGGAACGCCGGCGGATCCCAGTGCGCGTCCCACTGCGCGTCCACGCGCCCGCCCGCGCGCGAAGGGGCGGCGGACGGCGAAGCGACGTGCCGCCCCCGGGATTGGCTCGGCATGGCGGGATGGACGATAGCCAGGGGAGCGGGGAATGCGGGTAGGGATGATTAGGAAAGAGGGGGAGGGTGGGGGGGTTGGTAGGCGGTGGAAATGGGTTCGGATCGGCTCAAGGATCATCTAACGCGTCTAGGAATGCGAGGAGGGGCAGAAGAGCCCATTGGCTCAGGCGCGTCGCGAACGGACATCAACCCTAGATGCTGACGTGGATGCCGCGAAGAGGTGGTTTCTTCCGCGCTCTGCTCGACCCGGTGAGTTCACAATCGTGATTGGGGCGACGAAAGAGATGGCGCGCTACGCGCGAGCTGCAGAATTTATTGGTTCGCAAGTGGAAAGTACTAGAGGGCACTACTAATAGTGGGGAAGCATCATTTCCTGTCCATCAGTTGTACCAAAAGACTCGCCTAATCCAGTCGGAACACCTCTCAACCGTACCGGACCTACAGAGAAATAGCTGGCACACCCAAAACAGGCTACGTCAGATGGGCTCGCCCGAAACCGTGTAGGCTCGGCGGTCGGTGTCGCGGGTGCGCAGTTCAGCGACCAGTCACCAGCCCCCGAACCTGACTCAAAATCTCGCCAAAGCGTCACGCAAATTTCGCATAACCTTTTAGTTCATCGACAACTACAATACGTTTCATGTATTTCTTTTTTTGCTCCTCTCTAAGGAGGAGACATGGGGAAAGAGAAGTGGGAAGAAGGGATGACGGGAAAAGAGAGAAGGAAAATTCGAAATTGAGTGGGAAATATATAATACAAGGAGGAGAGAGAGCACGAAAGAATACAATTTGTAAAGAAATTACCATAGCGCGAGCAACCTGGATAAAGTCAGAGACAGTAAGAGACGACGGAGGAGGCGACTGCAGAACAGCGGGTGGTGGAACTCTTACAATATGGAATTGTTGAAAAGCATTCTTATAGTAACAAACTCTTAACGCGAAGATGACTACAGCGAAGACGAAGACCGAGCGATACAAACAATTATCGAAGACGGTTGCAAGCAGGAAGAATTTGAAATGCAAAGCGCGAGAAAACTTTCAAACAATGACCAAGGCGCATATTGTTACTAAAACGCACTGTTGGTTTTTCCCCGGATCTAGATTAGCCCTAAGTGTTAAAATTGCTAGGTTAGGAGCCTAGGGTTTAGGAAGAGAGAGATGGCCAAAAGAGGGTTTGCACTAATGTTGTAGGTACAAGATATTGGAAACGGGGAGGTGGTGAAGGGAGGTAGACCACCTAACGACAAGAGATTGTGATACTACACTAACTAACTAAAACATGCAATTATATAAGAATTACACATTCTGACATCAAGGGGAATATACCCCCTCAGAGTACATGGCTAGCTAGGACCTTTTGTATTCCATTGTATTCCTATATAAAACCCAAAACCGCATTGTATTAGTCACTTCTGTCGAGATTCAAATCTCCTTTTGACAGGGTCCATACCCGACATCACTTGCAAACCTTCCGCTACTACACTATGTCAAACATTGCATGTTTAAGTTGTGTAGGCTGTAGTGGGTTTGACCTTAGGGGGTACACAAACTTAGGGTTTCCTACTTGTACCCAACTTTCTGTTAGTTCATCCATTCCTGCTTCATTCATTTTGACATGGTTTCAGAACAGGTCCTTCGCTAGGACCTAATTTCTCTTCGGGCCCACCACTACTGACTGCCTACTAGCGCCTTCGTGCGCCCTACTGTCGGAGCGCTCCCTAGCGCCTCCCCCCCAGCGCCCTCGTGCGCCTCTCTTTCACGGCCCCTTAAGGCCCCGTCGACCCCGCGCGCCGCCCCTTAGCGACCCGCGCGCCGCCCCTTAGAGGCCCCGCTGGCCCCGTCGACCCCGCGCGCGCCCCGCTTAGAGGCCCCGTTGGCCCGTCGACCCCGCGCACACCCCACCCAGAGGCCCCGCTGGCCCCGTCGACCCCGCGCGCCTCCCTTAGCGGCCCCGTCGGCCCCGTCGACCCCACCTGCCGCCCCCTTACCGCCCCGCACGCGACGGCCACGGCCCCGCCAGAACCAGGCCGTCCGAGCCGAGCCGCGCAGCCCGAACCGAGCCGCGCCGCCCTAACCGAGCCGCGCCGCCCTACCTGAACCGAGCCGCGCCGCCCGTACTGAGCAGCCTCTCTGGACCGAGCCGCCCTACCTGAGTCGCGCTGCCTACTGCTGTTAGGGTGCACCTACTACTACTACTGCTGCTCCTACTGCTACTGTGGCTAGCCCTCCTGTGCTAGCTTTCGATGCTGAGGGCCGCCCAGTGAAGTTTGACACCTGGCTAGATGACCTGCACCTCTTCCTACAGCTCACTGCCAAGGAGGACATCTCACTGTACGATCACGCCCTAGGCCATGCTACTGCCCCTGCTGCTACTGCTGACAGCGCTGCCCGCTCACAGTGGCAGACTCGTGACGCCCACGCTCGCTTTGCTATTCGCAACTCCCTGCCGATAGATGAGCGCGAGCACTTTGGCCAACACAAGACTGCACAGGACCTGTACACTGCTGTCGTTGCCCGCTACTCCTCACCTGCCTCTGCCGCACTAGGCCGTCTCTCACTCCCCTACCTGTTCCCCGACCTGGCCTCTTTTCACACAGTTGCTGACCTCATCACGCACCTCCGTACTAGTGAGGCCCGCTTCCGTGCCGCTATGCCCGATGAGTTCCTTGCTAAGAACCCCCCCCCCGCTCTGGCTCACTCTCTACCACCTAGTCACCCGCCTCCCTGACTCTCTGCGTGCAGTCAGGGATCACTTCCTAGCTCGCTGCCCCACTGAGCTCACCATTGCCCTCCTCGAGAAGGAACTACTTGCAGCTGAGGCTAGCATAGTCGCTGTAGGTGCCTCTCGTGGCGACCCCCGCACCCCTTTCTTTGAGGGGTGTTCCCCTTCCCCCCTTCTTCCCTCTGTAGCCTCTGCTTCTGCTGTCGACCTCCTTGGTGCTGAGAAGGTCGGGACTGCGTCCGCTTCGAGCTGGCGCCGCATTGGCAAAGGGGGGAAGGGAGGCGGAGGTGACGGCGGGGGAGGCGGTGGTGGAGGTGGTGGCGGCGGTGGGGGTGGTGGTGGGGCTGGAGGGACTAGTGGCAGCGGTGGGGGTGGTGGCGGCAGCGGCGGGGGAGGTGGCAGGGGCGGGGGCGGTGGTGGGGACGGCGGTGGTCGCGGCGGCGGCCGGGGAGGGGGTGGTCGAGGAGGTGGCGGCGGCGGTGGTGGTCGTGGAGGCGCTGGCGGTGGCCAGAGCCAGCAGCACACTCCGTCACCCCAGGAGGTCCGTGAGTGGTACTCTCAGCACGGGGGGGGGGGGGGGGGGGGGGTGGGCTTAGCTGCACGTACGTCATCTGCACTGGTGACCGCGTTGGTCAGACGTGTGGGAGGGCGCACACCACGCAGCGCTGCTTCTCTCGCCTCGACGACGCCTGGCGTACTCAGTTCCCTGATGCCACTGAGCTGCCCCGCTGGTTTGATCTGATGAAGAAGGGAGTTGATATCTATGCTCTAGACTTTGATGCTATTCTCACTGCCATGTATGTGATGTCTACTAGTGGAGAGGGTGCTCAGTACCTGTGTGTTCCGCCCGACCCGGGCATTCGGACCAGTGAGGCTGCCGCTCTAGGTGCTAGTGAGACTGCCACTCCAGGTACTCGCGTGTCTGCTACCCCAGGTGCTGGTGAGGCTGCTGCTCTAGGTGCTCGTGAGTCTGTGCCCCCTGGTACTGAGTCGACTGAGGCGTTGCACACCTTCACACTGGACTCAGGTGCTTCTCGCTGTTTCTTTCGTGACCGCACTATCCTTGAGCCTCTGGCTCGGCCAGTTGCTGTCTCCCTCGCTGACCCCTCTGGGGGTCCGGTCATTGCGACCTCCTCCACTGTCCTTCCTTGTCCTGCGGTCCCGTCGGGCACACTGTCAGGTCTCCACCTCCCCTCGTTCTCTACGAACTTGGTGGCGGGTTGTGCGCTCCAGGACGGGGGTGTTCACCAGTTCACCCCTGCCTACGAGCGCGTGACACACTGCACGTGTGCTCGGACAGGCCGTCACCTGGCTACCTTCACTCGGGAGCCGGGGTCGGACCTGTACACACTGACCGCTGAGTCCCCTCAGGTAGCTGCGTCTGCGTCTGCGTCAGGTCAGCTGTTGCCCCCCTGCTCGTGTCGCTCTCTGGCGCACGAGACTGTCCTCTGGCACCACCGACTTGGTCACCCGTCTGTGCAGCGCCTTCGTGCCATGCACAAACGGTACCTTGTCTCTGGTCTTCCCAGGGTTCTCCCTCCCCTCCCACCCTCGCCTGCTCCTCCCTGTCTTCCCTGTGTCGAGGGGCGGCAGCGCGCCGCTCCTCACTCCTCCTCGTTTCCCCCGACGACTGCTCCCTTGCAGACGCTCCACATGGACGTGTGGGGCCCAGCTCGCGTCCGTGGACAGGGTCAGGAGAGGTACTTCCTGATCGTTGTTGACGACTACTCGCGCTACACCACGGTCTTCCCCTTGCGCACCAAGGGTGAGGTCCCTGATGTCTTGATCCCTTGGATCCGCGCTTCTCGTCTCCAGCTCAGCGAGCGTTTCCACTCGGACTTTCCTGTCCTGCGTTTGCACTCTGACAGAGGTGGTAAGTTCTCCTCCAACCTCTTGGCAGCCTACTGTGCGGAGCACGGCATTGAGCAGTCGTTCACGCTTCCGGCCTCTCCACAGCAGAATGGGGTTGCTGAGCGCCGCATTGGCTTGGTCATGGAGGTCGCTCGTACCTCTTTGATCCATGCGGCTGCCCCCCACTTTCTGTGGCCGTTTGCGGTCCGATACGCTGCGCATCAGCTCAACCTCTGGCCCCGTGTCTCCTTGCCGGAGACTTCCCCGACACTGCGTTGGACGGGAGAGGTTGGAGATGCGTCGCGTTTTCGGGTCTGGGGATCTCGAGCTTTTGTTCGCGATACGTCTGCGGACAAGCTCTCCTCCCGCGCTGTTCCCTGTGTCTTCCTTGGCTTTGTCCCGGACGCGTCTGGTTGGCAGTTTTACCACGCCACCTCGCGTCGTGTCCTGCACTCTCAGGACGTCACTTTTGACGAGTCCGTCCCCTACTACCGCCTCTTCCCCTACCGCACTGCCCCACTCCCCCCCCCGCCTCTCTTCCTCGCTCCAGGTGCTGCTGTGCTAGACCCCCTCCCCCCTCAGGGTGCCGCTCCCTCAGGTGTGTCTCAGGTAGACCCGGTTGAGCCTGTCGAGGTAGCTGTCGACTCTCGTCCTGCTAGGGGTGCTGAGTCTGAGCGTGCGGAGCCTGGGGGTGCGGAGCCTGGGGGTGCTGAGCCTGGGGTTGCGGAGTCTGGGGGTGCTGAGCCTGGGGTTGCTGAGCCTGGGGGTGCGGAGTCTGGGGGTACTGAGTCTGGGGGTGCTGAGTCTGGAGGTGCTGAGCCTGAGAGTGCTACACCTGGAGGAGCCCTCTCCTCACAGCAGCTGCAGGAGAGGTACTTACAGTACTGCAGCCTCAGGAGAGGTGCTTCTGGAGCCAGGAGTGCTGCTGGAGCTGGTACTAGTGCTTCCCCTCCTAGACGGGAGCTGCCCTCCCTTCAGCGGATCCGAGAGTGGTACACGCGGCGCTGCAGTCTTCGGAGTGGCGCTCCTGGTGTCGCGGACCCTGGTGCTGGAGGTGCTGCTGCTGCTGGCGGTGCTACTGGCGCTACTGGTGGTGCTACTGGTGCTGCTGGAGGTGCTGCTGGTGCTGCGGACCCTGGAGTTGGAGCTGCTGCTGGTGCTGCGGACCCTGGAGTTGGAGCTGTGGCTGGTGCTGAGGACCCGGGCGTTGGAGCTGCTGCTGGTGCTGCGGACCCTGGAGTTGGAGCTGTGGCTGGTGCTGCGGACCCGGACGTTGGAGCTGCTGCTGGTGCTCCGGACCCGGGAGTTGGAGCTGCTGCTGGTGCTGAGGACCCTGGCGCTGGTGTCTCTGCTGGTTCTGGAGACGTTGCGCGGCCGCGACCGTACTTCGTGCCGCTCCTTCAGCAGGTTCTTGGTCAGACTCCTCCTCCTTGTCCTCCTCCCTTCGTAGAGTGTCCTCCGCCTGTCCAGTCACAGTCACAGTTACCGCCTGCCTCGCCTCTCCCTGGTCCCTCTCCTTACACTGGTCCCACAGGAGGCCTTACAGAGCGTCGTGAGCCTGAGTCTCGTCCTGTGTCGCCTGCGTCTCGCTCTGCGTCACCTGTTCGTGCTGCTCGCACTGGTCGTCGTGTCCCGCGTGAGCGTCCTCCTCCTATCCCTGGCACTCACTACATGACTCTGCGTCCCTCCACTGCTCCTCGGCGTGTCCCTCTGCCGTCTCCTCCTGCGTCCTCTCTTCCTACTCTTTCTGACCCGGAGTCTGACTCCATTCGTGCTGCCCGTCCCACTGTCACGCGTCTCCTCGCCACTGTTGTCACTGACCCTACCTTTGAGTCCTCTGCTGCGTCTGCACTGTCAGAAAGAAGAGACTGGAATGATTGAACTAACAGAGAAATCAGTACAAATAGCAAACCCTAGAATTGTGTACCCCATATAGGCTAACCCACTGTAGCCTAACAAACCCAACATATATAATGTTTGACACACCCCCATAGGCAAAGTGGGGGAGACCTAGGGGTCACAAGACCAGTCAAGGCAAAGCAAGGCAACAACAAGCTCAGGGTGGATCTCGAGGATTCCACACAAATTCCGAGCACAAGCTAGTGGTCACAAGACCAGTTCACATGCAGGTTTATAACAGAGCCAGAGATACAGTGATCACAACCTAGCAAGAGTAAACATGCAGGTATAGATATATATAGTGATCATAGTACAAGCAAAGTCAAGAGGTAAGCAAGTGAGGTCCAGTAGGCACAAGGCCTAGTAGAGTGCAGAAGCGCTGATGGTCACGAGGCTGAAGCGCCTTGGTGAACACATCAGCAGTGTTGGCCTCAGTGGCCACGTAGCGAATACAAAGCTGACCGCGCTGCTGCAGCTCTCGAGCAAGGAAGTACCGCAGAGTGCCAGAGTCTGCTGGAGAATAGGACATGGGATCTGGTGGTGCTGCCTGATGGGAAGAAAGCGATACAATGCAAGTGGGTGCTGAGGATCAAGACCGATGACAAGGGGCAGGTCACCATCTACAAGAGTAGGCTGGTGGCGAAGGGGTTTATGCAGAAGGAGAAGCAGGACTTCAACGAGATCTTTGCTCCCACTGCCAAACCCCCTACCCTCCGTGTCTTGTTGGCAGATGCAGCTGTTAGTGGGAAATTCATCATTCAGATGGATATTTCAACGGCATTCCTGAATGGGATTTTAGAGGAGGATGTGTACATGACGCAGCCGCCTGGGTATGAGGATGGTACGGGCAGGGTGTGCAAGCTCAACAAGTCCATCTACGGCTTGAAGCAGGCGCCACGCTGCTGGTACCAGAAGTTGGCAGCTGTTTTAGAGGAGATGGGATTCAGGACCAGCAGCTGTGATGAGAGCCTCTTTCTCAAGGGTGAGGGGGAGAAGCTGGTGCTGTTTCTGGTCTATGTGGACGACATTCTTCTCTTCAGCAGCAGCATGAAGGAGATCCAGAAAGTGCAGCAGCAACTGATGGAAAACTTCAAGTGCAAGAACCTTGGGGAGGTAAAGTACTACCTCGGGATGCACGTGGAGAGGGATCCAGATCACAGGTGGTTGAAGCTGCACCAGGAGAAGTTCATCAAGGAGCTGGGGGAGAAGTATGGGATTGAGAATGAGCGCAAGGTTGCAACTCCCCTGCCAGCAGAATTCAAGCTTGTGAAGGCTGCAGAGGATGAAGGGGTTGAAGCTGAAGAGCAGCAGCAATTTCAGTCCTTGGTGGGCAGCCTCTTGTACGCAGCAGTTCACACGAGGCCCGACATCTCTTTCTCGGTTGGGCAGCTGGCTAGGGTGGTGCAGAATCCATCAGAGGAGCAGGTGGATGCAGCTGAGCGTGTGGTGAAGTACCTGAACTCTCACCCAAGCATTGGAGTTCAATACTCCGCATCTGCACAGGTGAAGCAGAAAGGGGTGGAGGTGCTGAAAGAGAAGGGGGAGAGGCTTGGAGAAGGCAAGCTATTTCTCACTTGCTTTACCGATGCTACATGGGCTTCTGAGAAGGAGGATTCCTCATCTGTGGGAGGATACATCTGCGTAGTTGGGGGAGGACCTGTTAGTTGGAGGTCCAAGAAGCAGACGGAGACGGCACTCTCTTCCGTAGAATCAGAGTACATGGCGATGTTCCATGGGGTGAAGGAGGTGATTTGGCTGAGGAGGCTGTTAGAGGAGATTGGCCAGGAGCAGAAAGTTGCTACGCCGCTGTTTTGTGATAGCAAGGGGGCTCTTGGGATGGCCAGGAACGCTGTGCTTCATGGCCTGAACAAGCACATGCGTATCAAGTGGCACTGGCTGCGTAAGGAGGTGAAGAGGGGGACGGTGAATCCAATCTACATCAAGACTCACCAGCAGCCAGCAGACTTTCTCACCAAGAGGCTTGCGGATGAGCCTCATTGGCGTTGTGTGCGCATGAGTGGAATGAGCATGAACTAGCATGGAATGATGGGGAAGCAGCCGGCAGGCTGAGGGGGAGTGTGTTGGGTGCAAATTTACATTGCACGACATCCTGCCGTCTGTTTGTACGAGTATGCGTGTGCGAATGCATTTGGGTGTGAATGGAATGTTCGTGTGTTTGTTTGCTTTCGCAATTTTCGCTTGATGCATTTGCAGGTACTCGCGCAATGTGCGCTTCGGCACAACATTGTACGTGCTATGAACAGTGCAAGCAGAAAGGACGAGCTCGCAAAGGAACCCAAGATGGAAGCTTTGCAGTTCGGTTGAGTTGATTGCGCAGATTCAGTTCTATCCAACTCGAAATTGTACTGTTTTGTTTGGTTAACTATAGTGTAGCAGGGAAGGCACTATAGGGGTACAATTTAGGTGAAGGTTGGATGTTGTTTGTCTGTATCTGCATGCTACAAGGCCAGGGGAAACCAGCGGAACCAGCATTTGGCTGGTTAGGCAAAGACAAAACAGGTTCTGTTTTTAGAACCTGAACCTGGTTGTTGTTTTCCCAGGTTGGAAAAACTGAACCAGAGGTTGTTTACCAACCTACCACCTGCTATTTTGTCCAGCCAGGTTGGTTCTGTTGCTTGGAATTATTTGGGATCATCCCAGGTTGATTCCCTGGTTGTTCCCAGGTTGATTCCCAAGGTCCTTGCTAGCTAGAACTATTTAATCCTTCTCTGTTTGTACCTGAATATAGTCAAATTGATTCAAGCGAATTCCTTCCTCGCTGGAATTTCGTTTCTGCGCTATTCGACGGCGGAATGCTACCCGAGTCAACGCTAGTATGCTAGCACTCCAACGCTAGGCAAACGCTGTCCGAGCCAGAACTTAGTAATGGCAGAACTTTTCGCGAGGCAACTTGGCTCATTTTAAAGCTCTTGGAGCGAGCTTCGATATAGCGAATTCTCAGCTTAATCCGACCGACGGTCTGCACGGCACGCTGCGCGACGTTCAAGGTACTCTTGCTGTTTTGACTAAGTCCTTCTTGATCCCTCTCTCTACAAACTCGGACCCGAGGATAGGGGCTGGTCTTGTACCAGGCACCCAGGGACCCTTGGAGGTGACCCCGAGGAGAGGATTTAAGTTTGATTAAGTCCTAATAGCTTGAGTTTATTAGGCCCTTACACCAACAAGGCTCTCGTCACAACAACTCCTCAAATGCTCCCACACCTTCTCTATATCCGCCCTAATCAGCTTGCACTCTTTCCCATCCAGAAGCTTATCCAACTCCTCCGTCAGCTGCAGCATGTTGTCGTAAAGCTGGCCCATCATCCCCTTCGCCGCTGAATCCGTCCTCCACATCATGTTGTAGATCACCTCAATCAGCTGCACAAAGAAGTCCACCTACTTCCACCACGCTGAGTCCATCTCCCACCCTTCGAAATCCGATCCCGTCAGCGTGTTCCCCCCCTTCTCCGCCCAGTCCTTGTACGCCACCATCGCTGTGAGCTGCTGGCGAATGGCGCACAGACGAGACACTGCGATGAACTGCGTTCGAAAGCGCGTGCCTACTGGGCGCAACACCTGCAGCGATTCCTGCTCGCCGTGCAGCTCCGGGCTCCGCATGAAGGCGCGCGTCCACTGGTGCCCGCGCTTGAACCCGGTGATGTTGTTAGCCTGGCTCACGACGACCCGCGCCCAGTCCATCTTGCCGATGTCCTCCATCAGCAGGTCCAGCACGTGCATGGCGCAGGGCACGAGGTCAAGATGCGGCCATTCGTTCTGCAGCAGCTTGCCAGCAGCTTTGTAGTCGCTGCCGCCGTCAGTGCACAGCACCACGACGTGCTCGGCCCCAATGCGCTCGATGATCGACCACAGGACGCCGACGATGAACACGCCACTCTTCGTAGCTGCCTTGCAGTCGACCGCCTCAACGAAGACTGCTGCAGTGTCGTTGATGCAGATGATATTCATCTGCGTGCGGCCGCCCTTGTCTTGCATCATGTCGCTGGCGATCGTCACGGCCGTCTCCCTCCACGCACTTGTAACGGGCGACAATGCCTTTTCAATCCGCTGCTTGCACTCCTGCATGTCGGCGCCTCCAACGTAGTGCCGCTCGGAAGGGACGTAGTTCGGGCCGACGGCGGTAGCGGCTCGCAGCATATCGAGGAAGAGCGGGTGCTCGCACTGAGACCCCAATGTGCGCGTCCCCGCGAGGGAGACGATGCGTCTAGACGCTAGACGCAAGATGCGTTGAGCGTCTTCCGCAACTAAGCATTTGCCTTGCACACAAATACCACCTTTCGCCCGTGGTTTCCAACAGTGAGCCCGGCCCACACCACACCCATTCCGCTATGCGTGCCACCACCACCCGCTGCTCCCAAGCTTCCTTCCACCTCCTCGTATCCCACCTTCTTTTATCCCACCTCCTCGTATCCCACCTCCTCGTATCCCACCCAGGGCTGTCGATTGGTTCCACGCCAATACTTGAGAGTCTGAGGTGCCCGTATTTCAGCCCTGAAATCTCCGGGAAGTGTCCTTTTCCGAGCCTTTAAGCGTCCGGGAAAGCACCCAACCAAAAACTTAAATTCAGGGCTACACTACAACAATCAGGGCAAACTATATATAACGAAAACTAATAAAGGCAGAGTTAATTTAGAACTGCTATCTACCTATCGACTTTCTCAACACTAATAACTAAGTGGCAGGCTTGCGGCGCTTCTCCCCGTCGAAGATCTGGCACACACCTGCCCAGTCCACGTCGCAATCTAGCATTTTCACGATGGGATAGGATGGGATGGGATGGGATGGAAAGGGAAAAACGGGAAGGGAGAGGTTGGGGGGAGGGGGGGGTAGGAAGGGCTGTGAAGTTTTCCGGGTAAGGCCGGAAACTTCCGCGGGGAATCAGGGAAACCCTCCAAGAGGCCCCTGTAAGAATCAGGGGAAGGCCCAGCCCACGCCCGTTATCATTCCGGGCTGTACAAAAAATCAACCCTGAGAATCTGGACTTTGGGGCAAAGTCAGACCTTAATGTTCAGGGCATTAAGGCCATATGCCCTTGAATCGACAGCCCTGATCCCACCTCCTCGTATTCCACCTCCTCGCATCCCAACTGCCCACCATCCCACCTACCCCAGATGCCACCCAGCATGCCGCGGGCGACAACGAGCCAGCGGTGTGTGCGCACCAACGACGTGGAGAATGTGGGGCGCACGGTGCGGCACCACACCTTCTTTGAGATGCTCGGCAACTTCAGCTTCGGTGACTACTTCAAGTAGGAGGCGTGCCAGTGGGCGTGGCAGCTTGCCACTCAGGAGTGAGTGCAGGGGGGCAGGTGGGCTGCAATGCACCGCACTACACCATACAGCACGGCACCACACCTTCTTTGAGATGCTCAGCAACTTCAACTTCGGTGACTACTCCAAGCAGGACGCGTGCCAGTGGGCGTGGAAGCTCGCCACTCAAGAGTGAGTGCAGGGGGAGTGGGGGGAGGGACACACACTGCATTGCACTTCACTGCAGGGGGTGTGGTTGGGATGCACTTGGACTGGACTGTATGCACGGGCACGGGCAGAAATGGGCTCTCTGCCTCTGCATCTTCTTCAAGTCCGACTGCCAGTGTCGCTTGCATCTCACTGATGTGCTCTTGAGGGCTACCACCCGCTGCCACCCACCCGGTGGGTGGAGCACTCATCTCCTGGATGCCACCCTATCCTTGCATGTGCCGTGGCATGTTCTTTCCATAGTTAATGCTCACTGCTCTGCTCTGCCCTGCCTGCTCCACCCACGTGCGAGGCCAGGTTCGGCATACCAGAGGAGCGCATCTGGGTGAGCATCTTCCGGGATGATGGCGAGACGTACGCCATCTGGAAGGACCAGGTGCGCGCCCCTGCCCCCCCTGCTGCTGCTGCTGGTGCTTGTCCCCCGCTGCTGCTCTCCCATGGCTAGTGTGTGTAGTGTGCGCTGCGCACTTCAGGGTGTGGAATCGCAATGCATGTCACTCGCAGTCTCCTCCATTTTTCTAAGCACTCACCTTGCTCTGCCCCCTCGCCAACACCAGGTAGTGGCGATCAAGTGATCCTGGGCAATCTCGAACGCCACCCGCTCCCTTTTGAGTCGAATCAAAACCTGCCGCACCACACAAATTCTCCCACCCAAATCACCAGGTGGGAGTGAGTCCAGAGCGCATATAGCGGCTGGGCGAGGAGGAAAACTTATGGGGGAGTAGGCCCACGGGGCCGTGCGGGCCGTGCAGCGAGCTCTACTATGACTTCCACCCTGAGCGCAGCATTGAGGGGGCGGTGAGTTGTGTACCTGTACATACAAGGGGGGCTGCTTTCATGCATACGCTTGCTGTCCGTGCGGGCCAGCCAGTGAGCTCTACTATGACTTCCAACCTGAACGGGGCATCAAGGGGGCGGTGAGTACCTGGGGGACGTGCTTTCATGCATGGCTGTGGTGTACAGTGGATACCGTGAGCAATGCACCCAGGGCGTAGTGAGCAATGCACCCAGGGCGCCGTGAGCAATGCATCCAGGGCGCTGTGAGTGTTGGGACTGGGCTTGGCCAGTGAGCTCTGCACGCCCTTCATCTTCAATAATGAGCCCCTGTCAGCCCTGTCAGCCGTGTCAGCCCTGTCAGCCCTGTCAGCCGTGTGGTTCACACGGTCAATCTGGAAGGCGCCACCCGTTGCATTGCAAGCAGGATGGCAGCCCCATGGCTGCTGCACTGCCGTCCTGCCCCTCCCATGCGCCATGCCCTGCGCGCTCTGCCCTCTATCCTATGCGCCATTGCCCAAAGCCCTCCTCGCTGCTCCCGTGCCCCGCACCTCCTGGCCGCAGTGGCAGGACGCGGGTTACGCCACACGCTTCATACAGTTCTACAGCCTCCCATGCCCCACCTGCCCCTTGTGTTGGTATAATGGCCTAATAAACTCAAGCTATTAGGACTTAATCAAACTTAAAACCACTCATCAGGGTCACCTCCAAGGGTCCCTGGGTGCCTGGTACAAGACCAGCCCCTATCCTCGGGTCCGAGTTTGTAGAGAGAGGGATCAAGAAGGACTTAGTCAAAACAGCAAGAGTACCTTGAACGTCGCGCAGCGTGCCGTGCAGACCGTCGGTCGGATTAAGCTGAGAACTTGCTATATCGAAGCTCGCTCCAAGAGCTTTAAAATGAGCCAAGTTGCCTCGCGAAAAGTTCTGCCATTACTAAGTTATGGCTCGGACAGCGTTTGCCTAGTGTTGGAGTGCTAGCGTACTAGCGTTGACTCGGGTAGCATTCCGCCAACGAACCGCGTAGAAACGAAATTCCAGCGAGGAAGGAATTCTCTTGAATCAATTTGACTATATTCAGGTACAAACAGAGAAGGATTAAATAGTTCTAGCTAGCAAGGACCTTGGGAATCAACCTGGGAACAACCAGGGATGATCCCAAATAATTCCAAGCAACAGAACCAACCTGGCTGGACAAAATAGCAGGTGGTAGGTTGGTAAACAACCTCTGGTTCTGTTTTTCCAACCTGGGAAAACAACAACCAGGTTCAGGTTCTAAAAACAGAACCTGTTTTGTCTTTGCCCAACCAGCCAAATGCTGGTTCCGCTGGTTTCCCCTGGCCTTGTAGCATGCAGATACAGACAAACAACATCCAACCTTCACCTAAATTGTACCCTATAGTGCCTTCCCTGCTACACTATAGTTAACCAAACAAAACAGTACAATTCCGAGTTGGATAGAACTGAATCTGCGCAATCAACTCAACCGAACTGCAAAGCTTCCATCTTGGGTTCCTTTGCGAGCTCGTCCTTTCTGCTTGCACTGTTCATAGCGCATACAATGTTGTGCCGAAGCGCACATTGCGCGAGTACCTGCAAATGCATCAAGCGAAAAAATGCGAAAGCAAACAAACACACGAACACACCATTCACACACAAATGCATTCGCACACGCATACTCGTACAAACAGATGGCAGGATGTCGTGCAATGTGCATTTGCACCCAACACACTCCCCCTCAGCCTGCCGGCTGCATCCGCGTCATTCCATGCTAGTTCATGCTCATTCCACTCATGCGCACACAACGCCAATGAGGCTCATCCGCAAGCCTCTTGGTGAGAAAGTCTGCTGGCTGCTGGTGAGTCTTGATGTAGATCGGATGCACCGTCCCCCTCTTCACCTCCTTACGCAGCCAGTGCCACTTGATACGCATGTGCTTGTTCAGCCCATGAAGCACAGCGTTTCTGGCCATCCCAAGAGCCCCCTTGCTATCACAAAACAGCGGCGTAGCAACTTTCTGCTCCTGGCCAATCTCCTCTAACAGCCTCCTCAGCCAAATCACCTCCTTCACCCCATGGAACATCGCCATGTACTCTGATTCTACGGAAGAGAGTGCCGTCTCCGTCTGCTTCTTGGACCTCCAACTAACAGGTCCTCCCCCAACTACGCAGATGTATCCTCCCACAGATGAGGAATCCTCCTTCTCAGAAGCCCACGTAGCATCGGTAAAGCAAGTGAGAAATAGCTTGCCTTCTCCAAGCCTCTCCCCCTTCTCTTTCAGCACCTCCACCCCTTTCTGCTTCACCTGTGCAGATGCGGAGTATTGAACTCCAATGCTTGGGTGAGAGTTCAGGTACTTCACCACACGCTCAGCTGCATCCACCTGCTCCTCTGATGGATTCTGCACCACCCTAGCCAGCTGCCCAACCGAGAAAGAGATGTCGGGCCTCGTGTGAACTGCTGCGTACAAGAGGCTGCCCACCAAGGACTGAAATTGCTGCTGCTCTTCAGCTTCAACCCCTTCATCCTCTGCAGCCTTCACAAGCTTGAATTCTGCTGGCAGGGGAGTTGCAACCTTGCGCTCATTCTCAATCCCATACTTCTCCCCCAGCTCCTTGATGAACTTCTCCTGGTGCAGCTTCAACCACCTGTGATCTGGATCCCTCTCCACGTGCATCCCGAGGTAGTACTTTACCTCCCCAAGGTTCTTGCACTTGAAGTTTTCCATCAGTTGCTGCTGCACTTTCTGGATCTCCTTCATGCTGCTGCTGAAGAGAAGAATGTCGTCCACATAGACCAGAAACAGCACCAGCTTCTCCCCCTCGCCCTTGAGAAAGAGGCTCTCATCACAGCTGCTGGTCCTGAATCCCATCTCCTCTAAAACAGCTG